AGAAAATCAAGAGGTTAATGAATCATATCCAAAGCTAAATCAAGATCCAATTACCCTTAATCCAAGTAGATCATGTCAAAATTTCATAACATAGAGTTCACCAAAAAACCAAAAGAAGTGAAACCCAACTATTGTGATTAACAAACAAACCCAAGAAGATTACTTGAACAGGGGCAGCAAAAAAACCTGACATTACTGCAAAAAATCAGTGGGTTTCTTGTGTATATGCCAACAATTTTTCATCTGCACCAAGGATGCAAACGCAGCAGCAGCCAGAATAAAAAAAAATGAAAAGAAAAAGCAGAAGCAAGCAGTGCAGCTACACTACCAGAGCCAGCATTCTGCATTCTATCTGTGTTTACTATAGCCGCTCCGTTCTCGTTCTCTAGACCCCTTTGAGTGCCGTGGCTCATCTTCCCTCTCAGCCATTGGTGGAAGCAATGATTCATACCTCGAAGGCTTCCTCTTGAAATGCCGCTCATCGTCGCTAGACTCATAATCTATCGCACTGCTACTGCTCTTCTTTACACCGGTGGAAACAGCCTTGGCAGCAACAGCAGAGGATGATGACTTATGTTCATCGTAGTAACCATTAGAAGCTGCCTTGTCATGAGCAGAAGAAGATGCAGGTTCAGAGGACAGCTTGCGTCTCTTATTGGCCTCTTCCTCGGGGAAACATATGCGAGAGAAGACGCTCCCCTTATGCTTCTTGTCTGCGGTAGCTGTTGTTGGAGATACAGAAGCGGCTTTAGTGGCTACTTCAGTCCTGGGCTTTGCAGAGGACTCTGAGCGGTGGTGATGGTGGTGGCGGTCACGGTCTTTCTCATGGTCATCGTAATCGTATCAAATTTTGTGATGCAAAATGATAGCTCATGTGATATATAGTTCAATTTTTTTCGGGTTAAGCCGAAGAAGGAAGAGCTAGGCAAGAATGATGAATTGCAGTGGTAGAATCGACGGAGATGATGAATTGCAGTGGTAGAACCGACGGAGATGATGAATTGCAGTGGTAGAATCGATGGAGATGATGAATTGCAGCAGCATAATGGGGTTAAAGTAGTGGGTGTTGGGGATTAAGCCACTGGCGTGGGATTGCATTTGAAAAATGGGAGGAATTGGAGGAATCGATGGAGATGATTGCAGAAGAAGTGAAAAAAAGCAGGGGTCACCGTCGACGGAGAAGATGAATTGCAGTGGAATCGGAGGATTCAGAGGAGTCGATGGAGATGAGAGGCGATGGAGAAGGAATCGGAGATAGAGATGGAGATGATTGCAGAAGAGGCAAAAGGAAAGGGGAAGGGCTGGGACTAAGAGAACGACGCCGTTTTGGGTTGGGACTCCAAATTTTTTTGGGAGGCAGGACTGATAGCCACTTTACCGATAATATTTAGTCTCTCAACTTTTATAAATTTAATAAATCACTATAGGAATAGTAATCTTTCTCAATGGATATTTATTAAAATGAAATAGTTTTGAGATATATTTCTACCTAATTTTTTGTAGGTATGGTTGATATACATTTTTTATGCACATACGTATATAAGAATAGTATATATCAATTTTGACTCTCAAAAAAAGATTAAAGTTCTAACTTCAAAAATACATTCTTCCCATGAATATTTTTAAGAACCAATCATTAGATTTAGTTTTCTAATCATGGAGGTTATGCATGAAAATTTTCAAATTAATAGAATATGTATAACTAGTTCTTTAATTATAGAAAATTTGCTACAGTTAAATATATATTAGAAAATATAAGTTTATTTATCAAAGGATTATACATGTTAAACCAATTGGAAAATTTTCATGCATAATCTACATGATTGGGAAACTAATTTAATGGTTGGTTCTTAAAAATATTCATGGGAACATGATATTTCTAACATTGGGACTTTAATTTTTTTTTTTATAAGAGTTGAGACCGAAATACACTATTCTCTTTATCTCTTCAAATATATACACACACATATATACATGGGAAAAATTGTTTCATTTAATTAAAATTTAATTCAAAATTTAGAAATCTACCTAATTAAATATTGATGCATAAATTTAGAAATTAATTATATTAGAATTAAATGTTAATAACTAATTAATTTTCAAATTTATATATCAACACTTAATAAGGTGAATTTTGAATTTTAAATTAGATTTTCATTTCCAAATGTATGAATCAACATTTAATAATGTAGATTTTTTATTTTTAAATTGGATTTTAATTAAATGAATATATTATTTGAGGTTGGGACTCATATTTTTATTTTGAGAATTAAGACTAAGATGCACTATCTTTTATGCATGTATGTATGCATGTATGCATGCATATATTAAACCTAGCAAAATTGGACCCAACTCACCCACTATGAGTAAGGTCATGGGTTAAAAGTGTCAATCTAGAATTCAATATGATCCAAATTGAAATTATTTA